GTTACCTAGGGAGGTGGTGGAATCTCCTTCCTTGGAGGTTTTTAAGGCCCGGCTTGACAAAGCCCTGGCTGGGATGATTTAGTTGGGGTTGGTCCTGCTTTGAGCAGGGGGTTGGACTAGATACCCCCTGAGGTCTCTTCTAACCCTAATCTTCTATGATTCTATCCCTCACTCTGGGAGAGGAGTGGGGTCTAGCAGGCTATAGCCAAGGCTGTATAATTTGCAGCACCGCTGTAAGCCTGTGACCAGAAAGGAAGCGAAACGCAATCCCTCAACAGCCCAATGCTGATGTGAGTTTGCCAGGTTTCAGAGTGACTGCTCAGACCCTGGGCTGGGTCCATGTTTCTCCAGCAAGGAGGTTGCATGTAAGAATCAACACTAGAGACAGACGCTGTGCTGCATTTTCTCTTGTCTTTCCTCCTGGGTTTGTTCTGTTTTCTTAGGACACGGGCTTGGACTTCAGTGCCGGCTCCAGACCATCACAACTAACTTCTTTCCCCCTCCCTCGCCGTGGACAGTTATTGCCATATTTGACACCAGCTCAGACTGTCAGACAAGGGCTTTTTTCTTTGGACTGACCTTTGCCAGTCGTGTTGTTAAAATGAAAGCCTGACTTCACACCTTCCATTTCAAATGCTTTCACTGCTCTTCCTTCTTTTGCTGTATCTTTGGAGCTGCATCTGGACAAAGGATTGGTTCTACCCAGTAATTCAAATCCTTTAGCTGGAATCAGGACCCCTGTTGCGCCAGGTGCTGGACAAACCCCAAGTGAGATCGGGGCACTCATTCATGCCACACACTGCACCGAGCCCATGTGCATGAAAGGAGAATAGCAGGCCATTTTCCTTTCAATCCCCAGCACCCGGAGTAGAGTACGAATAAGACTGTGACACAGCCTGTCCCAGACCCCAGGCACCGGACCCCCATGGAAGGTCATCGCAGCAGGAAACAAGACTTTAATTCCCTCACAAGTTCCTATCCACCACCAACCAGTGCAGGGCAATTCTGACTGTAGCCAACAGGGGGCATAGGTATCACAATATGGGTGTGTCTGAAAATCCAGAAACAGGCAAGGAACATCTGCAACCAGTGATTTGCCCATGGATTCATCCATTCCTTCTAACTTTCTGAATGTGTCATATTGTGTGTGTATGTGTGCAGAGCTGGGAGAAGTTTTTCCTCACACACAACTTTTCTTCCAAGAGAAATATGCCAATGCAGCAACTTGGAAACATTTCATGTCAGTTTCGCTCAATGGGTCGGGTAGAAAAAAAGTAAACTTTTGGGGAAATTTTTAAAATGTTTCAAGTTGTTGGTTCAAAATGACTTTTTGTTTCAAAGTTTCCTTTAATTCTACTTTTAAAATAAAATCAAGAATGCTTTAAAATGCTTAAAATTAAAACAAACCATTTTATTTGACCCAAATTGTTTTTTCCACCCCCACCCCCCAACTTTTTGATTTGCTGAAAACATCAAAACATTTTGGGTTTGGTTCAACCCAAAACCAATTTTTCCCAAGAGTTTGGAACTGCCAGGAATAGGCAGGTTCCTTACTCCCCATGTGTGTGTGTGACACAGAGATTGTATGTGAGGCCAGTATGAATATGTCATGATTCATGCCCCAGCCATCTTGTTAATTACTATTATTTGTATTGAGGCAGTGCCTGCTAGCCCAGATCAAGTACCAGGACCCCAGTGTGCCAGGAGCTGTACAGACAACCAACACAGGAAGACCCTGCCCTAGGAAGCCCTCTACTGGCAGAAAGAACCCAGGTGATCTGAGTTTCACAAGATTGTATCAAGCTTAGTTCCCACTTCTCTGTTATCCCCTTCTACCACACAAGGGCTTCCTCGCCCCAACTATCCTCAGTCTTCTACCACCCCAGAAAGAGGTGAGTTTGGCCCAATGGGTTGTGGAGGCAGGGGAACTGGGAGTCAGGATTCCTGGGTTCTATCCTCAGCTCTACCACTCACCTGCTGTGTGACCTTGGGTAAGTCACTTCCCTCTTTGTGCCTCAGTTTCCCCACCCTTTGTCTAGGCTGGGAGCTCTCTGGGCCTGTACAGCACCTGGCCTGCATACTGTACAGCTCCAAGCACAAAGAGGCAGACCTTCAGCTGCCACTGTAATATACCTAACAACAAGGCAAGTGGAAGCTCTACTAGATTCCTCCAGCCCCACATTTTCTCTTCAGGTCTGTGGCTGGACTAAGGATTGATTCTCTCTGCTTACTACCTCAACTCCTTTAGACACAGGCCCGAGGGGGCTGCTACTGTTCCCTGCAGTGAACGCTCTGGGGATGGAGATGGGCAAGTGCAGGGTGGGGGGAGGAGGAAGAGGGTTTATCCTCTAGGGGGCAACACTGATCGGAACTAGAGCATGGCCAGGTACCTGCTGGGAACCGGGCAGGACTAGCTGGGCTCTAGGAATCCTCTCTGGCTGCACCGGGCCCAGGAGGGGACATTCCCTGGCTGGCACCGGGCTCCTGAACCAGCAGCTGTGTGTGCGACAGAGAGAGGAGCCGGGCCGTGGAGCTGGGCTGCCCCTCCCTGTGTGAAAGCTTGTCTGTGCAGCCTGTTGGGAAGCAGCCCCTCCAGTTCGCAGCAGCCTCACCCCCACCTCCCCCCAGCTCCCAGGAGAGGGGAAGGAGCAGAGAGCAAGGTCCAGAACCAGCAACCTCCGGCTTACACCTGGGATGGGGCCTGCAGGGATTAATGATGCCTGCTGGGTGGAGGGGGAGACGGCCGATCCCGGGGCACTCTGCCCCCACTCCAGTGCAGAGGGCATTCCCGGGCTCAGCGCTGCAGAGACGACTCAGACAAAGTGGGGTCTGGCTATGATTTTTTTGCCCACTCAAACAAAAAAAGAAGTACAGCCTGTTCTCCGCACAGCACCATGATTCCACGACAGGCCAGCCAGGGGGCAGCATCATACCCACACTGCCCTATGGGCAACATCATCCCTCCATTCCCTCCTCTGCTCGCCAGCCATACACCCAGCCTTGGGGGAAATCATCCTGCAGAGAAATCCACCGGCCATGAATTTCTGGGCTCCCTTGTGACTCCCAGTGCAGGGGAATCAGATCCCAGGTGGGTCACCCCCTGGAGATCCAAACTGCACCCCAGTCTATTTTGATTCCCCTAAAATATCACCCCCTCTGCGCTCAGCCCACAGCACGAGGGCAGGGAAACAGGGTTGAAGTCCCCAGCACCTGCTCACCAGCAGATCTGGGGTCCCTGCCTCCAAGTCAGCCCCTTCCACTGATTCTCAGCCACAGTGGCATAAGCCCCACCAGAGTGCAGGCTGGGCTCAGAAGGGAGAGGGATCTGTTCTCCCCCTCCACCCCACCCTGCTTTGAGGCACCCTTATTTCCCCCCTCCACTAGCCCCAACCCACTCCTCACCCCCATAATTCAGCTTCCCACCCTCCAAGTCTGCTCCTTCCAGTACAGATGGGAAGATGGAAAATGGGGGACCCCACCTTATGACTCAGCCGCTCACCCCCCACAATTCCCTCCATGGCTCTGTTGCCTCACCCTAGCAGGAGCAATGCTACAGAAACGAGGGAGCCTGGGAGGCAGGGGGCTCCCTGCCACGGGGGAGAGGGGCTGGGCTCTGCCCCCCACAGGTTCCACCTTCCTCCTACAAGGCAGGACCCTGCCCCCTCTCTGCATCCGGTCACCACTGCCACATAAGGCTCTGAAGGTCCTTCTACTGCTGCTGGCAGAGCTCCACCTCCATGTGGGAACCAGGCCCCACCCCCGTGGGAGCTGATCCTGCAGGTGGACCCTGGAACTGGGGGCGTGGCAGCTAGCTGAGCACCAAGTCCCACCCCCTCCAGCAGCTGATGGCACACTCCGCACATACGGGGTTCCTGGAGCAACGGGCAGGACCACAAGCTGTGCTCCAAGCCCCGCCCCTGACATGATCCAATTCCCGCCCCCCACAGGAACCGATCCCACAACCACAAAGTGCCTGGAGTGGGGGGGCGGGGGACGGGACGTGCTAAGCCCCGCCCCTGCAACAGGCTCCGCCCCTCTACGTCCAGCAGCTATTGCCACACTCAGTACAGCTATAGGGTCCCTCTTCCTGGTGGGATTGCTGCTGCAGGTGGCTGGGTCCGACCTGGAAGCCCTTGCCACACTGGCTGCAGATGTACAGGCGGTCAGCCCCATTGGCATTGGCAGCGCCGGCGTTGGCATGGGTGCGCCGGTGCCGGATGATGTGGGAGCTGAGCCGGAAGCTCTTGCCGCACTCAGCGCAGATGTAGGGCTTCTCGCCGGTGTGGACACGCCAGTGGTCCACCAGGTTGGAATGATGGGTGAAGGCCTTGCCACACTCCGCACAGCCATAGGGCTTTTCGCCGGTGTGGGTGCGCCGGTGGTTGACCAGGGTGGAGCTGCCAGAAAAGCGCTTGCCGCATTCGGAGCATTGGTAGGGCTTTTCGCCAGTGTGGGTGCGCCGGTGGCGAGCCAGGCAGGAGCTGCCCGTGAAGCGCTTGCCGCAGACGCCGCACTGGTAGGGGGTGACGCCGGTGTGTGTGCGCCGGTGCAGATTGTAATTGGAGCTCTGGCTGAAAGCCTTGCCGCACTCGCCGCAGACATAGGGGCGCTCCCCGGTGTGGAAACGCTGGTGCTGCAGCAGGTTGGAGCTGGCGGTGAAGGCCTTGCCGCACTCCCCGCAGACGTAGGGGCGCTCCCCGGTGTGGGTGCGCTGGTGCTTGGTAAGGGCAGAGCTCTGGGTGAAGCTGCGTCCACACTCCCCACACGAGAAGGGCTTCTCGCCGGTGTGGATGATCTGGTGCTTCACCAGATTGGAGCGACGGCTGAAGCTCTTGCCGCACTCCACGCAGGTGTTGGAGCGCTCCGGCATCGGTGCCCTCGCCCTGCCCCCACCCCCCGGGGACGCCATCAGTTGCAGGACAGGCTGTGGGGGAGAGGCACCAAGGCATTAATTCAATTCCACGGAGCTAAGAATACAGCCCCTGTCTCCTACCCCCATCCCAGAGCTGGGGATAGAACCCAGGCATCCTGACTCCCACCCCCACTGCCTTTCCAGAGCCAGGGATAGCACCCCTCAGGAGAGAGCCAGAGACAATGAACCTTCTCCTGGCACTGCTGCCCCACTCCGGCCCTCCCCCATTCTCCTTCTCTCTCTCACTAACTGCAATCCAACATTCCACCCCCGGAACCCTCGGTCCCCCCCAACATTCTGCCCCCGGAATCCTCGGTCCCCCCCAACATTCCACCCCTGATTTACAATGGCTGGTTGGGGGTAAACTAGTGCCACTAAGAGGGATTATCTTGATAAGGGGATCCCCAGAATCCCCCATCCCTGTAACCACAGGATTCCCCCTCCCCGTCCAGCCCTGCCCTGCCCCAGGGAGCCCCAATTTAACCCCTCACTCCTCAACAGCTGAGCAAACAATCTCTAAGGCACCAGCCCCCACCCACATCCAATCCCTTCGCCATGGTCCCTCACGGGGGCTCAGGTGGAGAGAGAGGAGCTGTGGGCCCCCCACCCTCCATGATTACTCACCGAATTCCCCTCCACTGGGATCCTCAGCTTCTGCCCCTCGAGTTTGGGCTCCACCCGCACTTCCGAATCCATCACTGGCTCCTCCGCGGGCAGCGAGCCCTGGCGTGCCTCCGACTCCAGCTGGGGGGCAGGGTTAGAGCAAGGGAACTACTGCCCCACATTGGCCCAGCCAGCCTCGCCCCCTGTCTCCCCTCAGATCAGCCCCTGGGCCAACCATCCCCCTCCTAGATGGGCCCAGCCAGCCCAGCACCCCTCCCCTCTCACCCCCCGGGTTGGCCTCGTGACCCCTTGGCCTATAGACATCCTGCCCCCAAATTCAGTCCAGTGAATCTCCCCTCTGCATCGACCCAGCCACCTCCCCCGTCCCCCAGTCAGCCCCACTCACTGAACTTCCATTCATGGAAACCCTCAGCTTCTGTACCTCAAACTCTTGGTCCTCTTCCTCCTCTGCCTTCACCCTTCTGATTACCAGCGCCTCTTCCTCCTCATCTCCCTCCTCCTCCTCCGACAGCTCCTCTGGGAAAGTGGCAGAGTCCAGCTAAGGGAAAGGTAAGTGGGGAGATTGTTAAACAGCGTGGGAGGGGCACCCCAGCCTGGTCCCTTGGCACAACCTGATCCAGCCACCAGGCACAGTTCAAACCCCCGCTTCCTGGTCCCAGACAGGGCGGGGCTGGGGGAGAGGCTGGGACTCCTTTCACTGACAGGCAGATAAGTGTTTAGCCCTAAGGGTGAAACTGAGGCACAAGATGAGGAGAATGAATTACTTAAGGTTCTAGTGCTGGGGACAGAACCCAGGTAACCTGACTTCCAGTCCCCCCTGCTCTAACCCACTAGACCCCACTGCCCTCCCAGAACCAGGGATAGAACCCAGGAGTCTTGATTCCCAGACCCCTTACCCCATGGGGTAAGCCATCTGAGCTCTGCTAGCTCCCCTTTAATACACTGCAGTAATTTGCCTTGCTCTTGGGGCATTTTCCCCCCAGTACAGAAACCGCTCAGCTATTTCCAGGTTAACATTCACCCCAATCTTTTCACAGGCCCAAGAGCTTTACTTGCTCTGGGGCAGCATGGAGGGGCTGTTTATATAGGGGTCCCTTGCCTGGCACTGCGATGCAGCCACCTCTGGGGTGGGGCACAGGGACTGTTTATACAGGGGTCCCTCACCTGGTGCTGTGATGCAGCCACCTCTGGATTACAACACAGAGGCTGGTTATCAGTCACTAAGCAGTTTAACACAGGAAGTGTATCTAGCTCAGTGGGTCTCAAACTTTTTTTATTAGCGATCCCTTTCACACAGCACACCTCTGAGTGCGACCCCCCAGTAAATTAAACATACTTTTAAATATATTTAACACCATTATAAATGCTGGAGGCAAGCGGGGTTTGGGGTGGAGGTTGACAGCTCGCGACCCCCATGTAATAATCTCACGACCCCCTGAGGTGTCCCGACCCCCAGTTTGAGAACCCCTGATCTAGCTGAACCCACAGGAGGATGTACGAAGCACAATGGGTGTGGATTGTTCCACGCATCTATATAAGACCTTGACTCTGGGGAGAAGGTAAGAGTACCACCCACTGAGCTTCCCCACCCTGCTCCACGCAGCACAGCACCCCCTAGCAGCATATGGGGACATTGGGGTCAGCACTGACTGTGAGGGGAGAGCGCCCCCTACTGAGCCCCCCTGCCTGCTGCACAGAACCCTTTAGCAGTGCACTGGGGTCAGCACTGTGAGAGGCTCACCCCCTGCCCCACAGCACAGCGCCCCCTAGCATCACATGTCGGGGGGAGGCACTTATCAGCCTGTTAGTTACTCACTGAGTCCCCATCTGCTGGGATCCGCAACGTCTGCACCTGGAACTCCTGGTCCTCCTCCTCGTCCTCTGGTTCCTCTTCCTCCTGCTGCAGCTCGGGCTGCCCGGCCAGAGGAATGGGAGAGTCCCACTTTGGTGGAGAAGGGGACTGTGACTAAAGGGGGAGCATCAGAGGAGAAGGGGGACTCAGCAAGACAAGCTTCCACTCTAGACCCACACCAAATCCCTTCTGGATGTGGCAGGGCCCAGGATCCATTGCATGTGTTCAACCAGCCCTGCCGGTATATGTACAAAAGGTGGGAACAAGGTAGGATAGGTCTCGGCCCAACCAGCCCGCCCCCTTCCCTCTAGACCAGGCCACCCATCCCCCAACCCCATAGCTCCGCCCTTGACCCAAATCCTGGACCCAATCAGTCACCCCTGTTCTTCACCCTGGACTAGCCCCTGGGGCCAGTCAGCCAGCTACCATTCCTCCCCCAGATCAGCCCCACAGCCCAGCGCTGCTGCCTCAGCTTCCCGCATGGGGCCCGCTGGAGGCAAGTCAGCGTAGACACTTTCCCAGAGAGCAGAATGGGAATCCCGAGGACACAGTCCCTGCCCACCAGTCACTCACTGAATCCCCATCCATGGAGATCACCAGTCTGAGTCCCTCAGACTGAGAGCTCCCCTCCTGCTCCTCCATCTCGTCTTCCTCCTCCTCCATCGGGTCTGGAGACGGGGCCAAGGGCAGCTTTGGGAGAGGAAAATACACGGTCAAAAACAGCTGCATGCACCAAGTACCAGACCCCACTCCCAGAGCCAGGGGTAGAACCCAGGAGTCCTGATCCC